AAAAATACCTAATATTACAAAAAACGCACTTAACATTTTCATTTAATTTTTGACATATTTCACCTTCAAAAATCATTCTTAAAACTTCTACGGGGTTCGATAAGCCTCCCATTGCGCTACTGAAGTCAAAACAAGCAACGTAGTTTCTCAGTCTGATCATCCTATTTTTCTTTTAAAAATAGCAAAGGATACCATAAAAATGCTGGGACAAAACCAGCTATACTTTCCAGCTGTCAGTTGACAACTGCTTTTGCAAAAAAATTACATAGAAATCAAATTTTGAATCGCTCCCCCCCGCTCACAATCACAGGGACGAGCTCCGACGAAATTACAGTGGTAGTATATGCAAACAGCAACCACGCCCAAAAAGCAGTCGACGCTGCTCTCCGCCAGTTTGCTTGTAAGTCGACATGTAAACCATGTAAACAACGACTTACACTATCTCTGGAACATCTCCTTAATATGGCTTGTACTGGTGTCACTGGATCCGCAAGGCTTTCCACTCTTATAGCGTTTTTTAGCGCAATTTCGCAGTTGTCCAAACGACCCTTCGGCTCCAGAATTACACCAGGAGAATCTAGCAATCGAATATTTTTACCCAAATCCACTTCCTGGATTTGCCTAAAAAACACTGAATAGACCGAAAACAAGAACCACTCAGTTTTATCGTTGGATTTACGAACAGAGTGAGTCTAAAGATCAATCTCCTCGTTTATTTGTCAAATCAAAGAAATCTATGTATATGTACCGTGTAATTCCAGGTGCTGCGCCAACATCGCAAACTCTTTTTCGCTTCAAACTATTTATAACACTGCTTTTCCCGACATTCGGATAACCTGAAAATTTCGAAACAATAGCCACTGGACACACGCTCTTACCGGCCTCCTATAGGTCTACCCTAAGTCTATGCCTAACAAGTTCAGTGAAAGTTCCCTGACAACTGCGCAGGAGAAATGCTTTCTCCTGTTTTCTCTTCAGTGCTACAACAATCACGAACCTTGCTATATTTTGCAGTTCTTATCAGAACAAAATAATTAAACTCTAATTCTAAGGCTTCTGCTGGGAGAACCATTACACTGACAAGCCTTTTAAAAAACTAAATGAACGTTACAGTCATCAGCAGACCGACAAAAAGGAGATAAAGTTTTCACTAAGCCTAGCTGCGTAGTAGGAAAAACAGACAAAAAATTAAGGCTGACCCAAAAGTCCAAGTATTTTTTAATAAGGGATTTTGATCAAATAAAAATGACAGCTTATGCAATTATAGAAAACTAGGATCTGTAG